GATGGAAAAAATACTCTTCAAAACGATCCAACAGCCAAGGAGGACTTCCCTGGCAGTCCAGTGGTAAAGACGCTGCACTTCCACTGCAAGCGACACGGGTTCTAGCCCTGGATCAGGAACTAGGATCCCACATGCCTCGAGGCACGGCCAAAAAAAAAAAAAAGAATTAAAAAAAAATGATCCAACCTAAATATTACTTTCAAAATGCGAGACTGTTATCCCAGATGTCCCTAATACTGTATTTTGCGTTTGTTCATCATTCCTTTAGACCATTCCTGACTAATAATTTTGAGCCTAGATGTGTCTGCTTCCCTTAGAGCAGTGGAACACAGCTCCATTAACACCGGTGAGCTGGGACGGGCTTGCTATTTCTCGGTTACTTCATTCCACTGTAACTTGGTGATCATTACCTTTTTAAATAACATTTTTATGGGTCATTAGTTTTGTGTGTGATTCCTCCTGCCCCCATCTTATTTTTCCCATTATCAGAGCCTTATTTCTTACAAATAGAGCATAAGTAACAGTGCATGCTTGTGGCCCAGTTTCATAAACATCCAGCTTCACGTTGGTAGCTGGATATTTGTCATCGGTACCTGGACATTTGTTTTATGAGGACAGTGCGAGGTTAAATGATTCCTGAAAGTGGAAAGACAGTGCAAGCTACTCAAGATGGGGGATAAACCAATATTGAGAAAGCCTCTGCCTGTTTTAACACTAGCCTGCATGCACCAGAGATGGGCTCCTGGGGGGGATGGGTGTTGCAATTCAGAAGGTACCCATTGTATCAAAGCAACCCTTGACCCAGATCAGACCTGTGTGTGCGTGTTGTGTATGTGAAGTTGTTTCAGTCATGTCTGACTCTGTGCGGCCCTATGGGCTGTAGTCCACTAGGCTCCTCTGTCCATGGGATTCTCCAGGAAAGAATCCTGGAGTGGGTTGCTGTACCCTGCTCCAAGGGATCTTCCCAACCCAGGTATGGAACCCCGGTCTCATGCCTCCCTCATTGGCAGGAGGGTCCTTTACTTCTAGCGCCACCTGGGAAGCCCAGATCCGACCGTGTTGGAGGCAAGTCAGTGCACTCCAGGTGTCCTGCTTACACGTGTTCAAGGGATCACATGGACCTCAGCCATCCCCTCTTCTGAACTGGTCAGGATTTCTCAGCTGACAACTTATTATGTCATCTTGTGACAGCCCTTCCATTTTTCTTTTTTTTTTTGGCTTTTTGTTTTTGTTTTGGCTACACTGGGTCAGTTTCAGCACGCTGCATCTTTAGTTGCAGCATGTGAACTCTTAAGTTGTAGCGTGTGGAAACTAGTTCCCTGACCAGGGACTGAATCCAGGCCCCCTGCATTGGGGAGCTCAGAATCTTAACCACTGGATGCTCAGCCCTTTCAGTGTTAACATGGTTACTTAAAGTTAACTTACTGTTCATGTATCTCTTCTTCTAAGCTAAATCGTGAGTGTATTAAGGACAGTACTGAGTCTTAGATTTAACCATTCCTCACAGCACTGGTTGGAATCCCAGCTCTCCACTTACGAGCTCTGTGACCTCGGATGCATCCCTTCATCTCCTTGCTTCTCAGTTTCCTTGGCTACAAAAAGCATTGCAATCCTGCCTGCCTTCCAGTACATTAGGAGAACCAGCTAGAATGGTGCTAGGTAGTAACAGGAGCTTGGTGAACAATAATTGATTTACTAGACAAAACCCTGCACACAGAAGCTGAACAAAATGTAGCAGAATTGAATATAACAAAACATGACTTAACCTCATGGGAGGGAAGAGCTAATTATGGTCGCTAAAGATTTCATGGTGAGGACACCATTTCCTCTGACCTGGGCTTGAATGACAGTTTACAACCCTGTGTTTATTCTTGACTTGCTCGTGACCATGTGGCCATCATTTCAAGCTCCTCATGTCTCCTGAAACCAAAAGGATTGGTGAACTGGTTTGGGATGTGGAGACTGCTCATTTGCATCCTTGGCCCCACTCCTACATTTAAGCAACGGCCTGGCCCTGAGCGGAGAGCTTCCTGCAGCTCCTTGCTGCCCTGAGGCAGGCGGTGACTCGCAGGACTGATCTAGTGATACCCATAGATGTCTCTTAGCTTCTTTAGAATCTTCTTTAACGCAGTCATAATGGGGGCAGTGGTGCGGCTTACTCAGACCACATCAAGATTTTTTTAAAAATTGGGATGAGAATGTAAGAAGTGCTGTATAAAAAAATAAATAAATAGCACTGAGATGAGTTTCCCAGATTTCCCATGTAATGAGCGCATCTGCCAAAACTCAAGATGTGTATCATCCACTCCGCAACTGGCAGATCGCCTTGGGGGGGAGCAGAGGACACTTCCTGATGAAGGAATCAAAGCTGTCATGATTCTGCCACTTTCTCTTTGTGGTGGAGCCGTGTTACAATGAAGAAATGGGTCCTGTGACACTCTTGGCAACCTTCTTTGGTTACTTATCAATATGCACTCCCTTACCTTACACCCCCTTTTAAAGGTTCCTGGGAGAAAAGTACATAAAACATACATGTGCTGAATCTGTTGCCATGTCAACTTAGTAGAACAGACGTGGTCAGATGTGCTCCCTTTCGATATGGGCACTAGGGGTGAGTGAGTGAGGGAGAGTCACTCTGTCGTGTCCGACTCTGTGACCCCGTGGACTATACAGTCCATGGAATTCTCCAGGTCAGCATACTGGAGTGGGTAGCCTTTCCCTTCTCCAGGGGATCTTCCCAACCCAGGGCTCAAACCCAGGTCTGCCACATGGCAGGCAGATTCTTTACCAGCTGAGCCACAGGGGGAGCCCACAGGTTCTAGGGGACACAGCAGATAAGCCCCCGCCCACTGTTGATTTGTTAATTGGGATGGTTTGTTGGTTGACACAAGGCCTTTCTCCAAAAGCAATCTGAGACCAAACTCACCAAACAGGCTGTGTTGTCACTTTCTCGACACTGTAGTTTTATGTTAGGGGCTCAGTTGAACTTCTGTCTGACATATTCAGTAATATACCAGCTTTTAGCAGATATTTAGAGACCCTAGTTAGATTCAGGGTCACAAAGAGAAATTAAAAAGCCCCTGATCTGAAGAAACTTTGTTGTCCACTGGCAGAAAGACACAATTAAGTACAATAAAAGGGAGATGGCAGTGATTGCCTTTGTAGAACTGTAATGTGGGTCTGGCAGTCATGTGTTTTTGTGGTAGGTTTTTATTAAAAGTATTTTTAAAATATTAGCAGTTAAAATCCCAGTCATCTCTGTATCTAAGAAATTTACCTACGAGGCATTCCCTTAGAATGCAGTGATATAGGGACTTCCCTGGTGGTCTAGTGACTGAAACCCCAAGCTCCCAGTGCAGGGGGCCTGGGCTCAATTCCTGGTCAGGAACCTGATCCCACATGCTGAAACTAAAGAGCCCATATGCCACAACTAAGACCTGGTGTAACCAAACAGATTTTAAAAAGACAAGGTGCAATGCTATAAAATCAGTGCTGCCGTGGGGAAGACCAAGTTATTTCCTTACTCCGGCCGTGGGGACTGAGAGGATGCTGGCATTCGACCTCTAGGAGGTCTGCTGTGGGCTCCCAGAGGAGCGATGTCTGAGCTGAATTTTGAAAACAGCTTCAGGTCCTCACAAGAGTCTGGGCTCTGTGTGCTGTGCTGAATTCTGTTCCTGTGGCAGTCATCTACCAAGCCTGCTGGTTTATCTCGCTCCACATTTATTCCCCTAGCAGAGATTTTTTTAATCACTGCTACTATAGCTTCCAGCAAGGACCCCATGACCCCTGCTTTCATTTGTTTTGTACATGTGATTCCTGAATGTGCCTCCCTTCCCTTTCTTATGGGGTCAGCAGTGCTTGCAAGAAATTAGAGGACGCATGGGTTTGTGTATATGTCAAGGGCAAAGAGTCGGACACGACCGAGTGACTGAACACAGACACACACAAGGAAGCCTGCCCTGACCACCAGGAGGTTTCATCCATTTCCATCTGAAAAAACACCTGGCCTTAGGCGGCATATTTCTAACGAAGTCATTCTGCATGTTCGTGTGCACGCACGCATGCCCGCGAACACACGCCCTGCATAAACAGCACATTCCCGACCTGTGTCCAGTGAAATGGAGGAGCAGCGCGTGACAGTAGGCTCACCCCCTAAAGATACACCAGGAAGAAGACAGCTGCGTGGCAGGGCTGCCGCTGCCAGCTAGGGAAAGAGCTGCCCATGCCCCGTGCCATTCCGCAGCTTCAGCCCTGAAATGACAGCCAGCTTGTTTAGCTTTGTAACACCCCCGCGCCAACCGCCCGCCGCCCCCCGCCGCCCGCCGCCCCGTTTTATGGGCCAAGAGTTAGTTTCTTGTTGAGAACACTGCTAAGGACCGTCATCTCTGGTATCATTGTTAAGATGGGATATGACATGATGGCTGGCAAATCTCAACTAGAAACCATGACGAGTGAGCAAAAAAACAGGAGTTGCTTTTAATGTCTCTTTTTAACTTTGTAAGTGAACAAACAACTATTTTCAAAGCCCCATGGACTTTCCGGTTTTTCACAGGGCCGCATTGCCGGTTTTGCAGTTGACAAGAAAATGATAGCGCTTTCTTTGGCTCGGGCGAGCTGTCAGAAGCATCGCGGCACTCCTGGACGATGGCTCTCAACAGGATGGATGGGGAGGGAGATCAATAGGCTTCCCATTGTTACCGTGCATTTTTGCCAGGATATTTCATTAGTGTAAACACTGAACCCGTTGTCATCTTGTTTAGCCACTTGACCCTGGTGATTTTCAATTCTGTGTGTCGTGATGAGTAGAGCAGTGGCGTGCACGAGACAGGCCCTAATTACTGGGAGCCGAATCATTGCTGACCCCGGACGAGATTAACTGCTCCTTTGCAGTCTTTATCCTGGGACATTAGCGCTGTCTGGTTATCTTGCTTCAGTTGAGAGATTCGGGACAATAGCAGTGCTGATGGTAACGGTTGGCGATTTCCCTGTTTGTTTTGCAGGTCACGGCCAGGGGGTTTGGGCCGCTGCTGCAGTTCGCCTACACCGCCAAGCTGTTACTCAGCAGAGAAAACATCCGCGAGGTCATCCGCTGCGCCGAGTTCCTGCGCATGCACAATCTGGAGGACTCCTGCTTCAGCTTCCTGCAGACCCAGCTTCTGAACAGCGAGGATGGCCTCTTCGTGTGCCGGAAGGATGCGGCGTGCCAGCGGCCGCACGAGGACCACGAGGACAGCGCCGGGGAGGAGGAGGACGAAGAGGAGGAGACCATGGACTCGGACACGGCCAAGATGGCTTGCCCTAGGGACCAGATGCTTCCAGACCCCATCGGCTTTGAGGCCAGCACCATCCCAGTGGCAGAGAAGGAAGAAGTTTTGTTGCCCGAGTCTGACGTGCCCGCGGACGCCAAGGAGAGCTCGGCCAAGGACGCGTTAACGCAGTACCCCAGATACAAGAAATACCAGCTTGCATGTACCAAGAATGTCTATAACGCATCATCACACAGTACCTCAGGTTTTGCAAGCACATTCAGTGAAGATCACTCTGGCACCAGCCTCAAGCCGGGGCTTGCCGTGGGGCAGATTAAAAGCGAGCCGCCCAGCGAAGAGAACGAAGACGAGAGCATCACGCTCTGCCTGTCCGGGGACGAGCCTGACGTCAAGGACCGAGCGGGCGACGTGGAGATGGACCGGAAGCAGCCCAGCCCCGCGCCCGCGCCCGCGCCCGCGCCGCCGGCAGGGGCCGCCTGCCTGGAGCGGGCCCGGGGCGCGCCCTCCCCGTCCTGCCTGCGCTCTCTGTTCAGCGTAACAAAAAGTGCGGAGTCGTCCGGCCTGCCCGGCACCTCTCAGCAGCACTTTGCCAGGAGCTCAGCGTGCCCCTTCGACAAGGGGATCACTCAGGGTGACCTTAAAACTGACTACGCCCCTTTCCCGGGGAGTTACGGGCCGCCCCACGTGGGCCAGAAGGACGCGCACAGCTTCGCCATGGGGTCGCCCCTCAAGGGCCCTGGCCTGGAGGCGCTCTGTAAACAGGAGGGCGAGCTGGACCGGAGAAGCGTCATCTTCTCCTCCGGCGCCTGTGACCAAGCGAGCCCCGCGGTGCAGTCGTATTCTGGGGTAAGCGCTCTGGACAAAGACCTCTCCGAGCCGGTGCCAAAGGGCCTGTGGGTGGGGGCCGGCCAGTCCCTCTCCAGCTCGCAGGCCTACCCGCACGGTGGGCTTTTGGCGGACCACTTGCCGGGAAGGATGCGGCCCAACACGAGCTGCCCGGTGCCGATCAAAGTGTGCCCTCGGTCGCCGCCGCTGGAGGCCAGGACGAGGACCTCCAGCTCATGCTCCTCCTACTCCTACGCCGAGGACGGGAGCGGCGGCTCGCCCTGCAGCCTCCCCCTCTGCGAGTTCTCCTCCTCCCCGTGCTCCCAGGGAGCCCGGTTCCTCGCCACCGAGCATCAGGAGCCAGGCCTGCTGGCAGACGGAGTGTACAGCCAGGTCCGACCCCAGATTAAATGTGAGCAGTCCTACGGAACCAACTCCAGCGACGAGTCCGGATCGTTCTCGGAAGCAGACAGTGAGTCGTGCCCTGTTCAGGACAGGGGCCAGGAGGTAGGGAACCCGCACGAATTCAAGCATGTGGCCCACCCTCAGCCCTTTATCTGGACTCCCCCTGCCCCCACCACTGCCAGGCCGTTCTTGTTCGCCAAGATTAAAGCTTTACAGTTAAGGGACTGCCTCCCCATCCGCCCCTGGTGGCTCAGTCGCTAAAGAATCTGCCTGCAATGCAGGAGACTGCCTGCAGTTCAAGAGACCTGGGTTCGAACCCTGCGTGGTGAAGATCCCCCCCTGGAGAAGGAAATGGCAACCTACTCCAGTATTCTTGCCATGGGAAATCCCATGGACAGGCCACAGTCCATGGTGTCACAAAGAGTCAGACACAACTGAACGACTAAACCCCCCCAACACACACACACACACATGCACACACAAAGGCAGGATGCTTCCAGGTGATTCAGAATTAACCAGAAAGCACTTGAAGTTTGATCGAGATTTCAGCCCTCAAAAAGCAGAGGCAAAAAGCTTAGTGGGAAAAAAGTCTGATGCCTGAAAGCGTGTGCAGGTACTTCAGATACCCCCCCTCCCTTCTCTGCCTGCTTTGAAAGGATGCCATACCTGTCACCTTCATCCTTGCCCCTCGCTTCTTCAGTGAGAAGAAAAATATAAAATTGCTTTCAAAATTGACTGATTGAAACTGGAGAGATTCACAGTAAGCCCATGCTTTCCCAGCACCTTTAAGTTTCCTTGTCAACAGGCACCCTGGAGTCATCCCTTGTCCATTGTGAATGCAGGTGATGGACAGCTCACCATCCATCCTGGCCCCAGTATCACTGAGGAAGAACCTCTGTCGGTTGCACCTAACCGTATCATGGGTCATTGCCCAGGTGCCCCCCAAACGGTGAGAGTCATTTTAAGGAGCAGTGGGGTTGGGTAGCAGTTTTTGTCCACACTAAATGTGAAGTGCTTTCTAGGTAAAAATTCCCAACCATATCTTCCCAATGCTGGGAGAGGAAGCAGGTGCAACGCCAGCCACATCATGAGCGAGACTCACGTGGCCAAAGAGAGAAAAGAAAGGACACCACAGGTGCTCCTCCTTCCCTTGGAACACGAGAAGCCCCCAGAAAGAGCTGAGGGTGTCTGTGTCACGATCTGGTAGTGACTGCCAAGGACCCCACATGAGAGGGCCACCTGTGTCTCAGAGCAAGGCCAGTGCCAAGCCCCTCCTGTGAAGTGCATCTCCGAAAAACACAGGAGGAAATGAAGCGTGACTCTCATTAGGCCAGTGCACGTCATCCACGTCTGCACTCCCTGGATATTAGCCTCTAGTAAAGCAGGGACGTTAACCCATCCAGACAGCAGAAATGCCGCACGGGGTGAGCTAGCTTTTCACAGAGCCACGTGCAGTTTATTCAGCCCTCTGTGAGGTTGGCAAGAAGCACATGAAGGGTTTAGATTGGGCATGTTTTGTAAACAGCTTCCAAAGCTCCGTGGACCAACTACAGACATGCCCTGTGGTCACTTCCTCGCTTTCTACCTAGCCTGGTCCCCACTGCTCCGTTACTGCCTAGCAGAAATGGAAAGAGAAATATACTGAAAGGATTTAGTTTAGCTAAGAGACAATAAAAAGGAAATTTGAATGGGAAACTGTTTGAGTACACTGTATCCCCTCGGGCTTGGAATGGAGGGTTGGGCTCAGTGTCCCAAGCCAGAGTCACATCTGCGTCCGTCACCTGAGAAGGTGGAGGTTTGGTGAGAACAGTTAAAGTTTGTGTTCTCTCTCTCTCTTCACTCACTTCTTTCTCTCTGATCACAACTTTGAGGAGGCTTTCTTTTTTTTTCCCCTGAAATTATTCATAAGCATTCCTGATTCAGAAGCCTAGTCACTGAGTCCATTGGCATAATGATTTCTCTCTCTCTCAGGATACATATCTCATGAAAAAGACAAATGTCTCTCAGTCTTTCTTTCTTTCTTTTTGTCTCTCTTAAGAGGAGCCCCACCGTTAACTAAAAGGGGTGTGTGTTCATGATAGCTGCATAAGTCCAAGGACCTGTCAGTTTCAGAAAAATCTCCTTTTATCCCTCTTACATCCCCAAAGAGAACTTGAAGTCAGTTCTTGAGACTGAATGCCCCCAAGGGCACAGGTATCTTCCTGTGTTGAGGCTTTATCACTTGTCCGTCTTAGAACTTTGCAGGCTTTGTGTTTTGGCTTCACTGAGTCTCAGATGTGGCATGTGGGATCTTCATCATTGCGGTAGACGAACTTCTCTCTGGTTGGGGCGCACAGGCTCAGTTGCCCCGAGGCATGTGGGATTTGATTCGCCAACCAGGAATTGAACCCAATTTCCCTGCATCAGAAGGTGGATTCCTAACCACTGGACCATCAGAGAAGTCCTTATAACTTTTCAACTTTAAATGAATCAGTGAAATGGAGGAATTATTCAGCCTACACAGTAGTCATGAACAGGACTGATCTCCCCTCAAAAAATATACACTATTTTCAAAAATATTTTTATTTTCACTTTTAAAAAATGAATCTATGCTTTACATTCCTGAACAGTCTCAAAAGGTATTTTCCAGATTTCTGTGCCATTTCAGGAGTCACATTTAGCCCCTCTCAGTAGTCCAGTTTTGGGTAAAGTTAAGGTTTTCCCAGTTTAACCTTTTCATTTTCCTAAAGTAGAAGAGATAGGTTTTCCCAGAACTGTCTCAGGAGCTGAGCGTGACTGCTCCTCTTTGAGCCAATCATTGCTTTGCGGAGTTTCTTTGACCCCAGTGTAAGTGTGGTCTCCCGCGGTAACACTGAAGGCAAACCCTTCACAGGGTGAATCATAAATGATCAGAAGCCAGCATCTCTTGGGCTGATTCTGCCCTGATCTGCTTTCATGTAAGGTGCCAGGTGACTTCTTTTCCAAGTGAACAGAATATTCTGATTTCTAGTTACACTGTCTTTACCCTCCCATCTCATCGACGTTGACTTCTCATCCTAAGCATTCCCCAGCTTCAAGGAAAGTTTAACTAAGCACAATATTGTCCTTTATCAACAGCCATCTTTTTGAAGTTCCTTTTTTAAAATAATCAAGCAGAACATACCAAGCCCCTAACGTACCAAATTTATCAGGCTTTCTCTGTGCCTACAATAATATATAAACATATTCACATGTCTATGGGTTTGGGCTTTATTTTAATAGCATTTAGAGGAACCTGGTGGGCTACAGTCCATGAGGTTGCAAAGAGTTGGACACAACTGAGTGACTAAGTACTGCATAACACACATTTAATTACTAAGCAACTTGCTTTTTGCACACAGCTGTCTGCTGCGTACATGCCCCTAGGTCAATTGTGTAGGGTTAACACAAGCTTCTTTAATATCCTTGGTTCCTATACATCACAGCTGACTCGGTGATCACCTCTCAACAGACATTTCCATTTCCTGTATTTCCCTCTTAACAAACATTGCTGCAATAAACCTGCTTGTGAACATATTTATTTAGTGGTGGTGCTTTTATTTTTGTGAGTTAAAGTTACGTAAGTGGGTTAAAGGTTATACTCATTTGTTAAATACTACCTGTTTACTTTCTCAAAAGGTTGTAGCAATTCACACATCCTCCAGCAGAACGTGCGAGTGTGTTCATTGCCCCCTGTTCTTGCCAGTTGTAGCGGTCACTAGTCCTTTTATATTTGCCAGTCTGATGGACAGGACATGATGACTTCTAATGCAGTTGATATTTTTCTTATATGTCTTCATCGTTTGTATTTTCTTTCCTGGACTTGCCATTTGTCCATTTGTGTGTGTAGGGGGGGTGTTTGACTTTAATGAGTTTACAGAATCCTTAATTTAAGACTATTAATCCTTTCTTATACATGTTGCCTATATCCTCTCCTAGTCTGTTTTTTTAAACTAAATTTTTGGTCTTTATTTATCATAAAATAAAAATTGTTCATATACATGGAGATTTGCAGGAGACTCAGGTTTGATTCCTGGGTAGAAAGATCCCCTGGAGAAGGAATTGGCAACCTACTCCAGTATTCTTGCCTTGAAAGTCCCATGGACAGAGGAGCCTGGTGGGCTACAGTCCATGGGGTCTCAAAGAGTCGGGCACGCCTGAGCAATTGAGCACAAGCACAAATCTTGAAAAATAATTACAGATTAGGTTTGATAATTGTCAAGTCATTTCAGAACCATGACCTTTCTATCATTAAGTTTCTTGAATTCTTTATGTTATTTTTTAAAATTTTTATTTCTCCTAGTCTATTTCTATAGTATATTTTTCCATTTAAAAAAATTTAAGTTTTATGTAATCAAGTGATTATTATGTTTCTTCATGCTTTCATGCTTTCATACCTAAAAAGTCAACATGGGAATTTTTTTTCTTACTTCCAATTATGAAAAAATGAATAGGTCATATAAAGTGAAAAAAGTAACAGTGTAGATAACATGGTCCTAGTTTACTTTATAAATAAACATATTATAAACAATAAAAGCAGTATAGATAATAAAATGAAATGGGAGGCAAACTTGGAGAGAGGGAATATAGAGAAAGATTTATTTCTGTGTATTCCTATAATGTTTGATTTCTGTGCACGTATATCATACAGGTTTTTTTCTTAATTAAAATACAATTGATATACCATAAAATTCACTCTGTTAATGTGAACAGTTCAGTGATTTTTAATGATTCATAAAGTTGTATGACCATTACAGTGTCTAATCCCAGAATATTTTCATCACCTCAAAAAAAGCAATACAATATCCAGTAGCAATCACTTCTCATTCCCCTCTTCGCTTACCCCAAGAAATTACTAATATACGTTTGTCTCCAGTAGATTTGCCTATTCCAGACATTTCTTTTCAGTAAAATCTAGCCATGTGGGCTTTTGTGTCTGGCTTCATCCCTTAGCATGTTTTCTAAGTTCCTTCTTGCTATCACTGTATCCACCTGGCATGTTATCATATATTTGTTCTTCACTCCTTTTTATTGCTGAATAATATTCCACTGTGTAGATACACTAATTTTGTTGATCCATTCATTGGTTGGGGGATGCTGGGTTA